ACGCTCTCTTCCACAAAAAAGAAGATTTTTTTGCAAGGCAAACACACCCCGACACCTACTTGGTGCTCATAATTGATGATTCCTTGTTCTCCTCCGACCAGATTCGAGCAGTCCAGTCGCCGACCGTCAGGAAGATTTTGGTGTAGAAAGGGTTCCTGGCCAGTGCGTAGACAGGTCCGTGGTGGCCACTGTAGGTGCCGGTGATTTTTTCCTGGGGTGTTTTGGCCTTGCGGTTGCAGGCGATGACGATGCCCTGCTCTGTGCCCACCATGAACTTGGTGGGCTGAGGGTGGGAGCAGGAGAGAGCAGCGGTCAGAAGCTGGGGACCCCACGGTGCAGGGGGCAGTGGGGCAGCAACGGGTTTTGCTGGCCGAGCAGCATGGAGCCTGCTGCAGCCAGCGCCTGGGGAGAACGGAGCCCTGGGACCCGCCATGATCTGGGGGATTTAGAGACCAAAATGTCAGCAAGACCCCGTGTTCTGGGAGAACATCAACTGCTAATTCTTAAAGATGGGTGAGAACACACTGCAAGCTGCAGCATGGTGCTCTGGGTCACTCTGGGCATCAGCCATTTGTGGCGTGCCCCTCGAGCCCTGCCCGTGGGGGTTTGGCTCGGTTTGGCTTGGCTCGCACTCCTGCCCGGGTGAGGATACCGGATCCTGGCGGCAGGGCAGGGAGGCTCACCATGGTGGGCTCGAACTCCAGTGCGACAGCACCCAGGGCGTTCTCCAGGAGCCCCTGCCGGGTGATGTCCAAGACCAGCATCTCGGTGGGCTCGGACAGCTTGCGGATGTCCCACCACAGGACCTGCACGGGACAAGCAGCGGGAGGAGGCTGCAGGGCAGGGGCTGTTCCCAGCTCAACCGCGGGTGCTGGGGAGCCCAGCGTCCTGCAGCCAGGCAGGGGGAGCCTGTGCTGCCATGGCTGGCGAGGGGCAGTGCAGGCAGGGGAAGCTTTTTTGGGCTGTCAGCGCCTGCCAGCGCGGCCCCTGTGCGAGTGCCTGGCACCCTTCCCTGCGCCTGCCCTTTACCTGCCCGTCGGTGGAGGCTGAGAAGCACTCGGTGCCCGTTTTGGACTGCAGCCAGATGGCTCCGTACACGGGGTCCCTGTGGCTGACCTCCACGGTGGACACCTCCACGGGCAGCCCCCCTTTCCTGGTGTCCCAGTAAGCTGGGAAGGAAAAGGAGATGTCAAGATCTGCACCGGCTCCCTTGCCCAGCTCCTTTGCTTGCCATGCGTCTCCCGAGGAGATGCTGCCCCCCTGCCCAAGCCAGAACAGGAACCAAACCTCACTGGCTGCTCCTCCCGTAATTCCCAG